ATAAATAAACCGTGACGCACACTTCAGTCTGGTTTGGTTGGGTTCTGACTGTACCATAAAATTTCTGACGCTTCATTGCAGACTGATAATTTTTGGGCCACTTTGTAGTAGCGCCGGTCAAAATCAAGGAGAATTTACGACGCCGATATTGACCGTAGTACATTGTCAGTTTTAAAAAAGTTTGTCCGGATTCTTTCACATGTCAGTAACCCCTCAGACTAAATTTTGCATCATTCGAATATATGTAAATTTGGGTAGCAAATAGCGTATATTCAGCTTTCGTTGTAAATTAATCCGACATTACCCTAGGTGCTATTTTGTGCTTAGAATAATTCGTAGTAGAAATATGTTTTTGTAGCACTAAAATTCTGAGCTTCTAAACATTCCGGACAGCGCTGTGTAATTTATTAAAATTCTATCCACCATTCACCTCTTTGCCGGCCTGTAAATAATCCTTGAACAAAGGTCGTGACCGATGAAGCAAGAGCTTTCCATATATTCCTACGGCAGCCTTTTCAGTTCTTTGTGGATAGCGTCGTTTGTCACGCAATGGTGGAATGGCTTGAAACGAGGAAGGACATAACCTGCGATCCAGTGTTCTGTTTTTCACTGCAAAAAAAAAANAGGATAAAGAGACAGGAAGAGACAAGTACCGTCCTTGTTTTGTCCATTGAGACATCGCGTGACTAACATATCCAGTCACTAGTTAACAAACATAATTTAAAGAACGAAACAAGACAAGCACGATCGAAATGGGAAGGACAAAGAGACAGGGAGAGAGAACTATCACCCTTGAATTATTCATTGAGACATCGTGTGACTAGCATATCTAGTCACACAGGTTAACAAACATAATTCAAGAAACGAAGAAAAACAGATTTGATTAGTTTTCTTCTTTTTCATTCTAGAAATACAGAACTCAAGCAAGAACGCACAATATACAAGACGTCTTTAATTTTCTCTTTAGTTTTCTTTTGAAGTGTAGCAATTCTTAGAAATGAGAATTGTAATTGTTATTTTGCCTTGCAACATATCATGACTTTTTCTCTGAACAGTTTATGTAGCGATGAGTAGCAAACGATTGACTGATTGTAAATGTCGCTTTTTATAATAGAAAGACAGCTGGTCGTGGTCATAAACTAGTGTGTACACAAAAATGTTTGGTCGTCGTGACGCGAACGAATCAGAG